TTAACCCCTTTTCTGAAGGCCTTGAGGGAGGGGGCACACCGGACCTCGGGAGGCAAGATGTTTCATAGAGCGGGCACCACAGCAGAAAAGGCCCTCTGCCTAGACCCCACCAATCAAAATTCCTTGACCGTTGGGGTCTGCAACCTGCCCCTTCTGCTGGACTGAGTGGGGCGGGCTGAAATATAGTTATAGTCCTGAACTGAAAATGGAAGTTCACAGATGCAGATGCCAATGGAGAGACCTCATTTCTTCAGTGCCCAGTGGGGCTTTCCCCACTTGCACCAGAACACAAGACATGTCTCCAACATCTTGTTTTGGTTGTGTCCCCATGATGTTGCTTTCCTGTCATCCCCAGCCCAAGAGTGAGCAGGCTTAAGTTACCTTTCACTGTCCCAATCTTAAAGTAGAACACATTTCTACACGTTGAGGCTATCCTTATTCTGACACCATCAAAAGTGAGCCTCAAAGTATGTAAAATCTGCTAAACCTAGTGGCCTAGGATCTTGGATCCATGGGTCAGGAGACTGCAGTGACTGGGAATAAAAGTAAGATAGGGATCAGGAAGAAGAGCAGCAAATTTAATGTCAGTTTTCTGCCAACTCAGTGATGGGTGGAGAGCACTGACAACAACAGGGAAAGACCCGTTGAGTCTCTGGCAACTGCCCTAGGATGCCGGGGGCTGATGTCAGCCCTGCTGGGGAACTAAAGAGACTGGTTCCCTGTTTCTGTATCTTGGTCCTTCTTATGCTTCAAAAAGGAAGTCAGGCCTGGCATAACTAGGGTGAGCACACTTCCTGGGAACTGGATATATCTCCCCCAGCAAAGCAGGAAAATGTCCTGGTTCCCAGGAGCCCATCCTGGGCAGTTGGAAGCAGCAGCAGCAGGCTCATATGAGCTACAATGTGGGAAACTTCATCCATTGTGCCTGTGCAAGTACTTGAGGAAGAGTAGGCAGGATCAGCATGGGAACTAATACCCCTAGAAACAGCAGCAAGTAATCAGGCTGTTATGATAGTGTCGGGGGGGGGGGGAAGGTTGTCATCAGGTTGGGGATACTTTCTGTAGGAAAGAGAAGATCCACTCTGTCCTCAATTTCCTAATTATCAGCCTTCCTAGATAGACCAGATAGAAACACGACCAGATAAGCTAACTCTACTTTAATGTAAGGCTACATTAGCAGAATCTTGCAAGTCTGAAAGTACAATTCTCCTGCCATCACCTTTACAGCCCAATAACTTAGTCTTACACTAAAGTAGAGTTAGCATAGCAATAGAATAGCAAGTGTTTGGAATTAGTGGAAGTTTTTCATTACAGAAAAGCCCTTCTAAACGTTAACTTTTCATCTCTTTTTTGTTATTGTACTTTTGATCCAGGACTATTGGGAAATTAAATAATCAATTAACACTAATAACTATGTAAATTAGATCTCCCAGTTTTTATTCTTTGAAATCTGATCATCAAGGCATAACAACTAGGATGATGGGGCAAATGCCAGAGTCTGGACAAGGGCCTACCGTTATTATAAATTCAGTACCAAAGCTGATGTGATCCTGTTCTATGAATGTGTAATAGGTGATACATCTTGGATATGGTATTAGGTACTAGTTACTGCATTCAGAAGGAGGGAACTATTCAGTACAATTGCAGCAGGCCATCCTATCCATGTCAAGTAGAGCTCCTGACTGCACCAGTCTGTAAAGCTAAGGATGGCTTAATTCAGCATGAACAACATTGGTAGTTCACAGAAAATTTGAATAGAGGCACCTTGCAGATTAGAAGAATGAGACATCAGGGGATTCTCTTATTTCCTTCCAGATGTTGAAGTTTCCCTGTACAAGAAATTCCCCAATATCTCTGGCCTGGCTGGGGGCTCCCTGCTTTCTCCAACAGCTCCCGACTCCCTGCACACAGCTACCATTCCTACCCGCCGTCGACACCGCACTACCTTCAGCCAGGACCAGCTAGACCATCTGGAGACAGCATTTACAAAAAATCACTACCCTGATATTTATTGCCGAGAGGAACTGGCCAGGGCCACCAAACTCAACGAAGCTCGCATCCAGGTACCAAATCTACAAAGCCAGAGGACTTCTGGTTAATGGGCTACTGGACATATTAAAACAGCCCAAAAAGGCTTTTCAGAAGCTGGGTAAAGAAAGCAGCCATGTGTTATCCCTTGCTTAATACCAAGCAATCAGTTTTCCATTAAGGGTGCTAATGGAGGGTGGGAGCAGAATTCACCATAGAATTCATCCACTCCCCTCTTAAAAAAATTTCTGGCAGCCCTTTCTCTTTTCCTCCTCAAATAGTTGACTGCCAGGCAAGCAAGAGATTGTGTTTGCTAGAGATGTGGGTTGATTGCTTGTATGGGGCTGCTAGGCCAAGGGCCACATGAAACTGAGGATCATGTGCCTACCCATTGCCCATCCCTGCTACATACCATCACAGGTAAAAGGATGTTTGATTTTTAACTATTTAAAACCACATTCTTTCCTTTTACATTTTGAATTCCAAGTGAATTTATTTCCCAATAATATTTTTACTATTTTCTTAATCTCATCAATGGGTCCATGTGTTTGAAGTTTGGTATCCACTTAACCTTAAAATATTCAGTGTGATGCATACTATTAATAACTACATACTTTAGTTCTAGAAGAGAACATGTGAGGCATTCACAATCTATGAAAGTCTATGTGGAATGGTAGCATCTAATCACTATAGGCTTTGGAATGTTTACAAATCTGTTAATAAGGGTTTCAGCTAAGTGTGCAAAATCCAGGTAGTTGCTAAGAACTCCTCTTGGCCGTTTGGGCAAACATGGCTGTTTTGCAATTTTGCCCTTGCTGTATTATTCCTAACTTGCTTTTGCTCTGTCTTTGTCAGGTGTGGTTCCAGAACCGGCGGGCAAAGCAGCGAAAGCAAGAACGGGCCCTGCCAAAGCCAGGCACGCCTGCCATTCTCTCTATCTGCCCCATCCCTGCACCCCCTCCTCGACAGTACCAATATTCCCCCACACTTGGGCCACATCCTCACTTACCCCGCTTCCCTTCCACCTACACTCTACCACCCCCCTCTCCCTCTGCTACTTCTGCCCCTTTTCCTTGTCCTGTCCCCCATCATCCTCAAAGCTCTCGTGGTCACGAAGACTGGTATAGCTCACTGCGCGCCATGGGCTCTGCAGCTACCCCATCCAGTTCTGTGATCTCTCTTAATCTTGATCCTGGTGCTCACTGGAATTAAGAGCTGTTTGCTTGCAGGGATCGAGGAGCAATACAGGGTAAAGGAGATTATCATAAAGATACCCAAAGGTGTCTTGCTGATTTTTCTGGCAATGCTGTTTTCTGGGCACGCAAATGTTCTCAATCTGAAAGCATTTGTGCTTGAAACCTCCTTATTCCAAGTTCAACAGACCAAAATCAGCTGGGCTGCAGATGGCAAAAAATAAACTATGGGGACCAATGTGAATAGCAATACGTGCCATTTTAACCAATGAATAATGAAACAGATGTGACTTGTATCTCTGAATAAAATAAAATACAAACTTTAATCTAAACAAATGACATTACAAAATAGGCTACAATCTGTTAGAAACTTTTACCTTGAAAAGAGTCTGAAAACCAAATGCTTCAGGCAGATAGGCATGACATAACAGTCTTTCCCAATTCCTTTAGATTTTTCTGTTTAAAGTGATGGTAGACAATTTCCATTTTTCTGCGAAGAAAACCACGTGGATATGTCCATGTAGTCACTAGGAGCTGCGTTCAATCTGAGTTTCACCATGTTTTTCCTTCAGGAGAAGATACTTAGCACTCTTCTTCCAATACTTTCCCACAACAGTCCTGCATAGTAAGTTGGGCTGAGCACAGTGAATTGCTCAAAGTCAACCAGCGTATTTCCATGGTTCAGGGTAAATTTGAACCTGGATCTCTCTGGTCCTAGTTGAGCACCATAATAACATATTGTGTATGCATACCGTAGTGAAATATAACTTCCATTTCCCTTAGACAGCATAATGCCCATGATACCAGGAAGTGAAAAGTGTTTTAGTCCAGCGACTGGTGGGTACAAGCTTGGAGAGAGATGATAATGTTTTTTGGGCATCATGGTAGTTCTGCCCAACTTCCTTTTTTTCTCAGGTACCGTCAAGCCTGACTTTAAATCCGGGTAAAAAGAGCTATAAAAGCAGAATCAAGATGCCATCCTTTTCTAGCCTAGCACTTTTGCAATAGCTGCAAGGCAATATTTAGGTTCTACTTCAGCTCCTGAGAATATTTTCATATACTTGATGCTGGTCACTCAATGACCAGTTTTGCTTTCAAAATAATTGTTTCATGCCACTTCTCAGCTTCCAGCATTCTGTTACTTCACCTTGCAAACTAGAGTAAAAACCTGAGTGGGGCAAGTGGGCTTCTATCCCCCAACAGTTCACAGATGAAAAGAAGGAAAGTAGTTAACTATACACCTCAGATATCACACAACCACCTCAAGGTGTTTCTGACCCTTTTCTCCTGCCTGATGACACATTGCCGGGGGGAAGGGATCAGTTTTATTCACTGGCTCTGAAAGCACTTCTGAAATGGAGGAAAGATCTATTTGGAACATCAGTAACAGTACAGTTAATGGTTAGTACCAAAATGGATCTGGCTTAAAGCAGCTGCAAGTCATGCGCATTCAGAAGCAACACTCATTACTTGTAATATTTTGGGAAAGGGAAAGGATGCAAAGAAAAGAGTGCAACATGTCTCCGTGCATGGATTTGCATGCACATGGTTTGCATGAATGAATATCCTGATGCATCCAGCCACTTGTCCCAGAAGTTTAGGCTGCAATCCAGTACACCTATGCATTTGTATTCAGTGGGCTTACATCTCACTGGAGACTGCACTGCTAACTTCTCTAGATGCTGGGGGTGAGTTACACCTTGAGGAAAGCTAAAATGAGACAATGATTTTTCCTGGGAAAGAGACTAAAAATTAAGACGTTCTCCTGATGTATAACTTGCAGTCGGCTTCCAAGTGCAATTCAAGAGGCAAGTTATTACCTATGAGGCCCTGTACGGCATAAGGCCTGGATCTCTGAAGGACCGCTCATCTCCAATCATTTCTGCCTGCCTAGTACGTTCTGACAGAGTGGGTGCACTCCAGATCCCCTCTATTAAATGTTGCCATCTTGCAGGACCAAGAAAGTATGCCTTCTCTGTCACAGCCCCTGCCCCCTGGAACAGCATCCCCCCAGAGACACAGATGGTGCCCTCTCTCCCGGAAAGCTCTTAAAACCTGGCTTTGGTCCCAGCCCTGGGGTTAATGTACTGTTGTACTTCTGGGACCCATGTTTTGTTTTGTTTAATTTGTGACAACTTAGATCATTTTAGTATGTGATTTTAGGTTTTATCTGTTTTTATGGACTTTTTGATTTTGTACACTCCCCAGAGTCCATTGGAGTTGGGCAGTTATAATAAATTTAAATAAATAAACTCCTGGAATATATACATTTAATATCATGCACATATCCATGTGAAGAGCCACAAATGAATACATTGCAGAGTGGATTACCTCTCATCTCTTAAGCTTTAGTTAGGGTTGATGATAAACCCTTGTTACCAATATCTTTTCTAAGTTTTTGTTTGTACGACACAGTGAGCCATAAACTAGCCACACATAATTTAAAATATTATGTGAACCCCAGCCCATGCAACTACTTGCTAACCAAGCAAACCACAGCTAGGTTAAGCATACCCTGCAAACACAGCTCTTTCCACAACAGGTTCAGAACAAGCTATAGCAGCTTACAGTAATGTAGAATAGGGTACAACAGCAACAGCAAAGATCAGTGAGGATATCAGAGAATCTGAATGTAAAAATGTGGGAAGTTATGACCATATGAAAGTATTGCTATTGTAAGCTATGAAATGTTCTGGTGTGTTATTACTCTAATATTAATTCTGTACACCTGTACCAAAAAGCTGTTTTCAGGTTTGGTTTCTGGAAGGAGGCTAGATAAAAACAATTTTTCCACCCTGTGCAATCCCATTTATTTACCCAAGTAGACATGTAAAGGAATACAATTAAAATATTTCAATGTACATACCCCAAAGAGGCAGAGCTTGCAGTGCAATACCACTTTCCTAATTCTAACAAAAGTGGCAAGATCCTTATCATTGTCATGTTTTTAATCTTCTGGGGGGAGGGTTGTGTATGTTGCTCTGAACTGCTGGGAGCACAGCAGCACAGCACTCCTCTCCACAGCTGCCACCTGCAACTCTTGTAGCAGCTGATGATCAAGGAATACTCCCAGACTGCCAGACTGCCCTTTCAGACTGAACCTCAAGTCCAGTTTGCTATTTACCAGCAGCACTTATTTTGGGGGGAATAAGGTCACACTATCCTGGTAAGCAAGCAGCAGATCATGGTCCTCTCAGCAGCACTTCCTGTCTCTAAACATACACCAAACCCAAGGGGAGAAAGGAGCATGTGATGGGAACCCCTTGTGCTTACCCTAGAGACTACATGCTAGAGATAGCTATGTTGTAAAACTCAAATTATCTTGTCTACCAGAATGGAAAAGCTCCAGGATGGAGTTTTCAACAATGGCAAAACTTGCATCTCCATAGTCACACAGAGATAGCTCTGGGTCCCATCTGCTTTTTCACACACTGGACAAAAGAAGAATTGAAGTGACAGTTAATGCTTTCTAATTCCCATAGTATTCAATGAGGGAACCCTACACCAACAACTGATTATGCTGACTGGGCAATTATGGGTAAGAGTTCACTGTACTGCATTTGGAAAGCATTATGCTGGCCATAAAAACCCCACTCAGACGATCTCATGAGTAGACATACACACAATTACATTGTTAACTCTCACTGACAGAAGCTTATTTTTTAAACTCTTCAGAATTATTTATTTGATTTATTATTGGATTTATAATGCCACCCAACTCAGTAATGTGACTCTGGGTGGCGTACAACAAAGAACAAAGCATAAGCCAAAAAAGAACCACATAACGTTAAGGATAGGACTTGCTTTCCAATAGGACAGACAAGCATTTTTTAATAGACCTTTCTTCCTTCTGCAGCCAAACAGGCATTTCTTCTCCTCTTGCCTAATTACTGGGCAACCGTTATGTCAGAACACACCAACTGAAGACACGCAAACCCCCATTACTTGAACGGGGAAAAGACAGGAGCATTAATTTCCCCAACACTTCCATGGGGCTGCCGCATCTCAGCCAGAAAAGTCCAGACAGGAAGTGGTACTTCCTGAAGTGCGGAAGAACGCTAGCTCTCTGCCGCCATCTCGCGGTCGTCCGGACTTCTGCGGTCCAGTTATGACAGCCGTACTCCAGCTTGGAAACACCTGCCTGCTTCCTCCTCTTCCCGTCCTCTTGCGCCGCACGTGGAAACGCGCAGTCAGAACCGGAAGTGAAAGCAGCATCACTTTACAAATACACGTATTTCAACGTAGTGTGGGAAAAACTCTCTAGAAGACAGTTTCCTATTACATGAGCTAGCGATCGTGCGTGTGGCACTTAGCATTTAAGGTCCATCTACGAGTCAACCGAAATCTCATCACTCGTATTCTGGCCGGAGAGCTTCCTTTTCCGGGCGCCACACACCCTGCAAGTGGAAACATTAAGGAAAGCGCGGTCAGCGGTCGAGCCGCTTCCCCTTCGGTGCGCACGCGCATTACCCGACAGCCATAGAACGGCCCTGTGGCGGCCACGTGATCGCGGTGGGGGCGGGACCCAATATAAGCATCGCGCGGGCGGTGCCTCGGCCGCATTTTGAGTACTTCCAGCTCGGAGGACCTCTTGTACGTAAGCTCCGAAATGAATTCTTGGTCCCTGGGGGGGCGGGGGTGAGGAAACTTGCTCTTAGCGTACTTGTAGGGAGGTGATGGCATCCTGTTCTTGGGGAGCGGGGGGCGCGCGAGCCTGCGAGCGCTTTCGGAAGGCGAAAGGGTCGCGCTCCGAAAGGTTCGCCAACTGCGAAAGGAAATAACGTAGCCGTGCCGTGCGCATGCCTGGTGGGGTGCCTGGCGGGGTGGGAAGTGGGGGCGAGAAGGAATGGCGCGCTCCCTCGCGTGGGATTAACAAGATGGCGCTCGGGGCGCAGAGGAAGAAGTTCTGCTTCCTCTCCTTTCCTCTCTCCAAGCCCCCGCAGGGCTTCTGCCGCTTTGTGCCCAGGAAGCGGATAGCTTCGGCTTCCTCGCTGGCGGGGAGTGTGGCTTAAGGCGTCCTTCTTTAAGGAACCCGGGTCCAAGCGGAGCGCGGGGTAAAGTTAACTTTGAAATTACGGGAGGGCGGGAACGGGCTCGTGGGCAGCTTCCGTTAGCAGCCTGGCAAAACCTTACGGTCACGTGGGATTCCGGATCTGCTGCCCTGTGACGTTCGGAGCCATGTGCTCGAGTCAGGCCTGGCGATACTCGGTTCGTAGACGCGCCGCAGTTATCCACGCGGCAGCCTGCGGAATAATGGGAAGGCCAGTATTTTACGACGTGTTCTGTGTGGCGGTCTCCTGGGGGACTTTCAGGCTTTTTTCTTACCATCGAAAAGTTACGTTCACATCGCAAGGAAACGCGTCTAGTACATAGCATTCGTGTTCTTTCTTTTGGTTTATTCAGGTTGTCACCATTATGTCTTCTGAAGAAGGAAAACTATTTGTTGGGGGGCTAAACTTTGATACTGATGAACAAGGCCTCGAACAGCATTTCAGCTCTTTTGGTCCTATTTCTGAAGGTGAGCATGTTTGGCTAGTAAAGGGGAATGAGTTGCTGTTGAAGTTAACCAGAGCAGCTGAATGACTTCTACTTTTTTTCTGTGTTTCTAGTGGTTGTGATCAAAGACAAAGAAACACAGAGATCAAGAGGCTTTGGTTTTATCACCTTTGCCAATCCTGAACATGCATCAGATGCCATGAGAGCAATGAATGGAGAGGTGAGATTTTTTCCTACATTGTATGATTTGTTATTGCCACTGTCTTAGTATGTCTAGCTACATTACCTTATTTATGTGCTTAGTGAGGTGTTTCCAGGAAGTAAAACTAGCACAGTGGTATTTACCTTTTAAAGCATCAGGAATTATTTAAGCTAGGCACTTTTTCCCTTTAACTTGTCGATTGGGGCTTTCGTATTCTTACCTAGCCGACTGAATTACTGGCCTTGGTTATATCCATGCTATGCACATCATTTTTGGCTAATGATAAAGAAATAATAGTTTTGGAACAGTTTGGTCAGTATTCTATAAACACAACTAAATATAGTTTCCTTCAAACATGATCATACTATTCCATGCAAGCTACAATGAGTCTATTTTGCAAGGTAACATATTATTGCCTGCCTTTCATCAGTGAGGAGGTACATTCAGCATACTGATAACACTGAGGATGCTGGAGACAGTGGTTGGAATGAGGGAACAAATGAGGATCGAACTGCAGAACAAATCTATGAAGGAAGAGTGGATTGAGTTGAGACTGAGTTTATTTATACCCTCACTCAATATCCCAGAAAGGTGAAAAGTTTAAAGAACAAAGGGTAGTATATGAGCTGGCATATGGGCATGGTAGAAGTGAGAGTGTGTTGCAAGGATGGAGAGGTATGGTGAGTGATGTTGCTTTAACTAAATCTAGTTTGATTTCCTTTTTTCTTTCCTGTTTATTTTGCTTGCAACTAATTTTTTTTCCTTTTATTTTGCATAATGTTCACCTTGAAAGGGAATAGCATGATGAGTATGTTTTTTTCTTTGCAACACTCAGCCAGAAAAAATAGTGGGAGAGCTTTCATAGCTGATATATATCACTTAATTGTGTGTTTATTAAATGTACCATTTGCCTTTTAAGAGCCAAAAGAGCGTTTATGTAATAAAAAGGCAAAACTCTCCAACCACTTCTACAGATGCATACATTCACATTGGTCTCATTGTGCCTATTGTTGGAGAGTAATTCCATATATTTCTGGGATACTTCTCCTTCACCTACTAACTTCTGAGGTGTTTTGGGGTTGGTTTTGCATTTCCTAGAATACTGTCGAGGATATTTCTGATGGAGTAGCTAGGCTCTTTTCCTTACAAGTTTTTCCCTAAGGTTATTTATGATCGTTTTTCAACAGAATGGATTTTCTCCAAATGTCTTTTGAGAACTCTCTCCTTTCTGTGGTTAAATGTTAGTAAATTTCCGGTATCTTCTAAGAGCACTGGTATTTAAAAGACCTTTAAAATAATAACTGCCTAGATAATGCAGCAAGATAAATTTAGATAGATCACTGCTTGGATTGACATAGAAAGCCTGATACTAATTTGGCATGACTTTGTGAAAGAAGATAGTCTCTAGCAGTTGAAAATAGATAATTATTTTTTATATTATACTCTTCTAAAGAGCTGGTGTGGTTAATGACTAGCCTGGCCTTCCCCAGTTTGAAGCCCTCCAGCTGTGTTTTAACCATAATCTCCAGTCAGTTCCCAGTATATCTAGAGGATACACAGTTTGAAGAGGTTAGGGTAGCATATTGGATTCGAAGGTTCATTTTAGAATATTTTAATTTTACTGGCTGGACTTAGACATGATTAGGTAAAAGTAATTATGTACATCATAGGTTTATCGCACATTCTGTATTGTAACACCTATTTGGCTGTTCTCCCAGGCTTTGGGCTAGGAGTGGTTGGAGCCACTGCTGGTTGTGATTTATGTGGAATATGCAGTGTGTTTGCAGTGGTAGAGCCAGTAGTTAAGGCATCAGGCTAGAAGCTAGGAAATCATGAATTTCAGTCCCGCCTTAGGCACAAAGCCAGCTGGGGTACCTTGGACCAGTCACACACACTCAGCCATAGCAAGCAGGCAAGGGCAAACCACTTTAGAAAAACCTTGCCAAGAAAACTGCAGGGACTGGTTCCAGTAGTCACCAGGAGTCAAAAACTAACTTGAAGGCGCCCCCCCCTCCACACACACACACACAAGTGTGCTTGGTCCAGACATGGTTTTTATTGTTATTTCCCAGTTATTTCAATTGCCTAGAATTATTCTAGAGTGGGGGGGGCTTTAACTTTAATACATTTCTGACTGGTAGCTTTATTGTATTGTCGAAGGCTTTCACAGCCGGCATACAATGGCTGGTGTGGGTCTTCTGGGCTGTGTGGCCATGTTCTTGAAGTTTTGTTTCCTAACGTTTCGCCAGCACTTGTGACCGACATCTGCAGAGTGCGGGAGAAAAGACAGAGGCATTTCTCTCTGGGCCAGGGGGAGGGGGGCAAAAAAAGAACTGCTCCTGTCTG